GATATCCAGGATCCACAATGTAATAATAAGTGTCAGTTTTGTCCACTTTGCTGATTGCTGATAAAAAAACTGTCCTGGAATGATTATAAATGATCTGTGTTGGGATTTGTTGCATGATTTTCTTGAGAGATTTCTACAAACATGATCTCCAAATTTGGATGGCAACAACAGCTCAAAAATAATATATACAAAACTATAAAAAATTTTAAAAAGTCTTATCCCACCCCTGTGTGTGTGTGTGTGTGTGTGTGTGTGTGTGTGTGTGTATGCTGCCTGTATGCTGTTGCTAACACAGAGACCTGAGAAGATTATCAGTTTTCCTGGAGCTAGAGTAACAGGTGGTTGTCAGTCACAGGAATGAATGCTGGGAACTGAACTTGGGTCCTCTGGAGGACCAGCAAGTATCAACCTGAGTGGTGTCTCCAGTCACAATAAATCCATCTTGATGAGTTTATCAGGGGTTACGTACATAGTTGTGAACCAGTCTTTGCCTAAAATTAGCAGAAATGACTCACATTCTTCCTACCAAGCTCCTGTTCTACCTGTCTGTGAGTTAACGGCTGAATACATGCAAACAGAACTTCAATCACTACCTATTGTCAAAACACCTGAAGGGGCTATAGGCCCAGACGGCACAAGGCATAGACAAAACCCAACTAGTGGGAAGCTACACACTAGTTCACTCCATCCTTTTTCCAATCAGGAATTCTGCTGGTTTTGCAAAATAGTATCAAAATATTTATGGAATGGCTGTGCTTTTCTGGACTCTGTCGTGTAGAACAGATAAATGGTGGATAGAATTTAGCAGACCAATTTCAGTTCAGGATTCTGGAATCCAAGAGAGATATACCCTTAAATGTGACATATTAAAGTGGCATGGTATGTTGTTAACAAGAATAATCAGTTCATCATTGTGATTAATTTTACAAATGACAGTGATTCTCTCCAAAATATAGATGGCCAGGGTAACTAGAAACTAGATTAAGTCATTGCCCATTTGCAGATCTGCATATTTATAATAGTAAAGAGTAAATTAAATAGCCAATCTATTTTGCACATATAACTCTGTAGAGATTAGAATTTTAAGGTTTTAGGTATAGAATCAGTTTTCTTTGGAATTGGATTTTCTTAGGCACATAGTTACTTGAATGAATTATTTTGATAATGCTCTGAAAACTTCCATGAGAAGGAAACTCAGGGAATCATTTATCCCATTCCTAGTCTCATCTAGTATGAAGACCAACGGAAATCACTGCATGGAGACAGAGAGCGGATGTTATTTGGATAGGGCTAATCTACTCCAGACAGTCTGTGGGCTCTCTAGGGATTCAACAACAGCACCTGTGTGAGGTGGGAAATCTCTAGACGAGAAATATGCAAAGCAGATTCAGTTAGAGTTGAAAGTTCAGGGTTATTCAACAAAGACATTCTGTTTCTATTCTTTTTCATGAGCTGCATTATTAGATATGGAGACATGCACATGTAGTATTGCTGTGGAACACATGGCAACACCTGCATAGTGGGCCATGAGCTAAATGAGAGAAGCTGGTAAAAGACTTTGCTCTTCTGCCTCCTAGTTCCTCAGAACTGAGTACATTAATAAAGGCAGCATCATCTTAGAGGAAATAGCTTAGTGACTTGGTAATAGTATAAGAAATATGTATAAGGGAATGAGAAATACAGAATTGAGTACTAATCCAATCCTGTGACTTTTTTTTTTTAATTAATGAAGCAAAGAAGAGAGAGGTCTTTGTATGTTATAGTCAATTTGAACATGAATGCAGCCATTTTTATTTTTGGTGATCTGCATAATGTAGTCTTAGATGAGACTGTATGTTATGCAAGGCACATGAGGCTTCCTTTAGAAAAAGGTTTTGTCCCAAATAGTATATTCAATAAGGACCACTTGAGAGCCAGTAACTAGTTCGTCCCTCTAATTCTAGGACTAAAAAGCTGAGGTCTGTGCTGTGAATTCCAGACCAACCTGTGATACAGATTGAGATACTGTGTCAATTCTCCACCCTCCAAAAACATCCTTTAACCTGTGCTTTTTCTTTGCTCACTTCGAAAGCACATATACTAAAATTGGAATGAAACAGAGAAGATAAGCATGGATCCTGTGCAAGAATGACACACAAATGAAGCGTTCCATATTTAAAAAAAGATACACCTTTTCCTTTGTGTTAAATATTCTAACCATTTTGTTTCCAAAACTCTTTCTTCCTGGGTTTCATTCTCTTTCTTGGTATTCCCATGAAATGATTTATGCTCTATGTCATAAATGGGGTTTCTGATGCATAGTTTTCACAAGTATATTAAATTTTATACTATAATTTTCAAATTGTAGATTGAATTTTTTTTTTAGAATTCTCAGTGGGATACAGCTTTATTTTGCAGGGGACACGGATTGAATATTTTAACTTATTTTCAGGATTACGTATTTTATGCTTCAGTTAGAAGCCTCTGCAAAATTTCTGGTGACTCAGAAAGACCTCGATCCAAATAGAAGGACTCTAGCTATACAGCTAATAGGGAATACGAGATCAGCGAAGCTTAACTTTACTCTGACATCTTATGGCAATTATTGAGCCCTCTACCCCATACCTGGGCTTTCAGGTACATGAAGACAGGCATGAATAACCACCATTCACAATTTGAACAGCACTTTGTCATTGAAGGGTCTACGACACATTATTATTTGGAAATGCTAGAGAAAACTTGTAAGATAAATTATATTTTAATCATTGAAGAGTGAATTGGGACTAAGAAATCATGAAACAGTTTTACCAAGACAAGGATTTTAAAGGTTTAGTGTTAGCAAGTTTGAAGTTTCTTCCTATATACTTTGAAAATATACATTACCAACAAGGTGCATGTCTCTAGTGCTTCTTCTGAAGTGTCTCATTTATTCTCCCATTGATATTATTTCTCAAATACAAGGAAAATACAATTTTCAGAATATGTGAATAGATGTCTTTCCAGAAGATATACTTATGTGATCTCCAGCCAGCTTTGGACTCAGGCTGGTTGCATTTCCTCCACCTCAGATCCCTGGACTTGATTCTTATCTTTGACTAGCTAAACATTCTACCATAGATTGCTAAGTCCCTACTGAGGAAATTTTATCCACCTCCATCTTCCATGGCTCCTGATCAGTGAGACATACCTGTCCATCAAGGAATTTGTCAAGTCAGATCCTGCCCACTGCATCTCTATTCCATTCTTCTCACCCACTCTGACCATGTCCCAGCCAGCCTCGGACCCAGGCAGGCTCCAATTCCTCTGTGTCAGATCCCTACACTAGATCCTTAACCTACCCTAGCTAAACAGTTTACCATATATTGGTAAGTACCTACTCAGGCAGTCCCCCCAACTCCACCATCTTCCCTGACTTCTGATCAGCTGGATAGATCTAGTCTCACCTTGTAGTTTTCTGAAATAGTCATTCCTCCAAAGATGAATGGCCCCTTCCTAATGAATTCATGTGGTTACAAACTGAAAATGCTCTCTGTTTAGTTGCTTGCCAAAATTTTAATTAGGTTATGTTTACTGGTCTGCTTGTTTATTTGTTTTTTGCTTCTGAGTATCTTCTGGCAATGCTGGATTTCTTATTCATTTATTAACTGGATTTTTACAAATTTCATGCAATATAATTTGATGTAATTTAGATCCCCTCCCTCATTTGCATCCCCCAGCACCCCACAATTTCATGTAAATCAAAATTGTATCCTGAAATGCACTTCTGTATGGGTTCATCCAATGGAAAATGGTCAAACTACCACAAATCTCACTCTTCCCTCTCAGCAGCCATCAATTAACAAAAAACAGTTCCTCAGGTAAGGTTTGAGCTTCTTATTCATCTCTCCATGTCCATGCTTGGATGTTGTCTGGTTTGAACTTACCTGGTACTTGTACATGCTGTCATAATTGAGTCATCATGAGTAACTAACCAGTTCATTAGAAAATTCTTTCCCTGTAGTCATCTACCACCTCAGGATCTTACAATCTTTCTGACTGCCAGCAGTGATCCCTGATCCTTGGGAGGCAGAATTTTGATATAGATGTCCTATGCAGTGGTATGTACTCTGTATTCTCTTGTTATCTGCACATTGGCCAGCTGTGTTACCTTATTAATTCACGTAGGCAATGTCCCCATGTGTTCCAAACCAGACCAGACCATTGCAAATTGTTTATCAGAAAATTTGTTTCTGCAAATGTCACATGTTACTACATTTTGGGGGACACTTGTTCAACTGGAAATGGATGGAGGCATAGGAGTGTAGTTTCTTGGTTGCTGTCATTGTATTAGAATTATGTGCTATACCATTTTTAAACAAGGCATAAAAAAATTGAAATGTGGAGCTTAAGACTTCCTCTTAAATATAAATTTTTTGGAAGCTAGAAAAAATTTTGCATTATAATATTTCTATAAAGTATGCTTTTGTTTAAAATAAGTATTAGAGCATTTATCAGAAACACAAATAAATTCAAAAATCACTTTGCAATCCCTTCTCAGACATTGTTATATTGCATGTTATACTAATCATTTATTTGTCAAAACACAAAGATAATGCTGTTTCTTAAGTATGTGTTACTTATAAAACCATCATAATAAAAATCTATAGGTTTCAATCATGCCTTACTCCTAGTGGCCCACACTGCATTTCTAGTTTTTATTTAGTTTCCATGTTTGCCTCCCACCCCTTACTGCCATTTGGTAATATTTTCCACAGTTCCTCAACCTGCCTGAAATTGTATAGTCATCCTGATCCTAATAACTTCAACACTAAGCTCTTCCGCTTCCTCCAGATCTGGAATGCGAATTAGAATTACTAAAAACCTATGAATCACTCCAGGACCCCCAAAGATGATTTGCCTCCAAAAAGGAAGAAGACCAAGATATGGTCACTTGGGGTTTTCCTTCAGCTTCCTTCACTAACGTCATGTTCCTGAGGGTTAATATGAAGCTTCTCTGGACCCTGAATTTGTGAGGAACAGGTAAGCCTTGAGAAGCAGACAGTTCGTCAAACTCTCTATCTGAGAAAGGGAGGTTTCTGCCCAATCCATGACTCTGGCATGCACCATCAACACAGCATTCTTCATTATATTATGTCTTTAGTAGTGAGTGGGTGCATCCTGCTGAGTAGACACTGTCCTTTCTTTGTACAACTTTAAGATGCTTTTTGTGATGGCTACTCCTGGGTGTCAACTTGACTGGATCTGGGATTAACTGAAATGAAAGAGAT